CCAGGCGGGCCAAATAGCTCAGTGGATTAAAGTGTCTGAAAGCAGGCACAGGGCCAGGGGTTCGATCCCTGGGACTGCTGTGCTGGCCCCGCCGCCGGGGTGCACTGAGATGGCAATTGAGACTGGGCGTGGTGGCGCGCAGCTATAATCCCAGCTCTTGGGAGGCTGTAAACAGGCGGATTGCTATGAGTAGGATCTGGTAGTGAGACCCTGAACACCCTGTAGACCCTGCCCTAAAATACAGAAAACAAAAAACAAAACAAAGCTTCTTTACCAAAACCAGTGTCAGGAAACTTCACCCTTTATTTTGAGTACATTTTTGTAAAGGGGATAAAAGTATAGTTTTCTTCTTGTGCATGTGGAAATTTATTTTTCCCCAGGAGCACTTATTGAAAAGGTTCTCCTTTTCCTACTGTGTCTTTTTAGTGGCCTAAGTGTAAGGACTAGGTGCCCTTTAAAACACATGTTTTAAATTCATATGGACAATAAAGAATTTTATTCAGAGGCCTTATTAAAAGCACAATTTCCTGTAGTTCAATAAAGTGAGCAAAATGGAAAAAAACTTTCTCTAACTATAATCTGTTCCTGAATAGAAATTTTTAATAATAAAAACTTCTCAAAAGTGATGAGTTTTAGCTCCTAAGCAATTTCACAAAACTTTAAAATCTATCTGGTCACTGAAAACCAAGGCTCTTGCATTTAATTTCTGTTCTATAGTGCTATATACCATGATCCTGAATTTACTCTGAATAACAAAGCTAGGTTTGTTCTTCACCAGAATACAAACAACAAGAACAAACTTCAGTGAGCAGGATTATTCTGTGTACTTCAGAAGCACAATCTACAATCACAGTGTAGGGCAGTATCTGTCAGTCTGGTCCTCCCCATTTTATATGTGGAAATTTATTTGTCCTTGAGGACAAAAGTGGCTAGTGGTAAAGCCAGGTGTTTAAACTTCTGTCATGGTTGGGGGTTTTTGTAAGAGGAACAATACAATACGGGACACATTTTATAAAATTATTTAATAATCGCCCAAAGAATCACATACAAGAAGTGTAGGAAATTTGTCCACACACTAAAGACCAAAGAATCCTGCTGAGGGCCTTTATCCTAATATCTTGTATGAGTCCAGTTGAAAATCTATAGCCCATAACAATGCCTCCCACTAATCCAATTGGAGGCCTACAGCACATGACAATGTCTCATGCAGGCCTGCTTCATGGATCTGCATGGGAAAACCCAAAGGTCAGTGGTGGAAGCTAGAAAGTCTATGCCAGAAGAATGAAGGATCTGTGCTGGCAGGCTCAGGGATCTGAACTGGGGCCAGGAAGCAATGCTCAACACAAGCACCAGAGATCCCCTCAAAAGTACCACAGCCAACCTCAGCGACAGTGAGGTTCCAAGATCATACGAAGAGGAAGAAGACTCGAGTTCCCAGGAAAGCCAACATGATGAGCTTATCTGCGAGGCTGAGCAGTACACCATCCTCCCCTCCAGAACCAGGAAGCATGGCTCAAGATGAGGACCTGAGCTCCCCAAAATGAACTGTAGCCATTCTCAGTGACAATGAGGTCCCAAATGCCTCCTCTGACAAGAACAGCTGAGTTAATCAGAAAAGCCAACGTGACAAGGTCTTATAGCAGAATAGCCCAAGAGAAATGGCAGCTTCTCCAAACAGCTTCCCTAACAGTCTCTCAATGGCCTCTCCAGTTCTGCCTCTAATGCTGTTGGCAACAATCCTCAGGTGGGCCTCCCACACCGAGCACCATGATGGTCCGGTTCAGCTGAGTGTAACAAGCTGACCACCTACATTAAAAACCAACTATGCTCCATCCCTGGGCAACTTGATAAACTTACACTTTATTTATTTATTTACTTATTTATTTATATAATGTATTTAGTATAGGGTCTCACCACACAGATCAGACTCATAGTGACCCTCCTGTTTTCAGCCACCCAAGCACTGGGATTATAGGTGTGCACCACCACACCCAGTATCAGCCATCTCAGCACATGATGGAGATGAAACCCCAGTCACTGCACTGGCCTAAGCAGGAGGTTTAGTCTGCTGAACTATCTGGCAGACCTCCCTTACACATTTCTTACACTAGTCTCTAGTGGCAGATTTGTGAAAAGTTAACATATCTTGGTCTATATAGATTTACATTAATATTAGAATTACACATACACAACTTTTTGCAATCATTCCTGTATCAAAAACAAAATATCCAGAGGATGACCAAAATTTAAGATTAAAACACAATACTTTGGGGGCTGGGGAGGTGGCTCAGTTGAATAAGCACTTGCCTGGCAAGCCCAAGAACCTGGGTTCAATCCCTGGTTCTGCAAAACAACAACAACAACAACAACAACAACAACAACAACAACAACAACAAAGCAATACTTTGATTAACTTGATTATAAATATAATGACATTAAAACATTATTATAATCACATCCCTTATTTCCCATTAATTTTTACAAAGCATAGCAAGACTATATAAAACAGAGATTGCCTTCAACTTAAATATACTCTTACCTTCAGTTCATTTTTATATTGTCCTCTTCTTAACAATCATGTTCTCCTCTATTTCATCCTTGCAATCAAAAGTTCCACTAGAGCCTCCCCTCTCACCAAATGTTTCATATCATTCTACTAGCTCTTTGCTCTTAATTTCAAACATAGATCTGGCCAAAAGCTCTCAACCTTACCTATTCCACTCTCCTAATTGTAGACTGCATTGAAGCTTTTTTTTATCCACCCAAGCAATATCTCTAAACACAAGCAAAATACAGATCAAATTTCTGCAAAGCACAATCTACTACCTGGGTCCAGCAGCCAATGCAGTTCTCAGTTGAAGCCTTCTAAGCATAGTGGGCAACATTTCCGTCAGTACTCTGATTTTCCAGGCTCCAATCAGTCTTCAATATAGCTTACATCATACAGGGGGTGTCTCTTCTGCTAGTCGCTCAAAACATTTCCAAATTAATTCCAAAGGTTTTTAAGTCACCTGGTCAGGCAATAGTACAGCAATAACTCACTCTCCTGCTGCCAATTTTGTTGTGGTTTGAGGTTTTGCAAGGCAAAAAAAAAAAAAAAAAAAAAAAATTTGGACACATTTTATAAGATTATTTTATATTCATCCAAAGAATTGTATACAAGGAGTGCAGGAAATCTGCCCACACACTAAAGACCAAAGAATCCTGATGAGGTTCTTGCTGAAGGCCAAGAAGATACAGAACGGGTAGTGGAAGAAGGTAGTTCTAACCACTAGCTATGCCCCTGTGATCAGATACAGAAAAGAGGATTATAATTGTACTATTTCACCCTATATGGTTCTGACACAATATGGATAGACTTAATACTAGCTCTTTTTTGCCATAATTTTATTGATAAACAAATAGCAATGAGACAGTTTCAAATCAAATCAGTAGGACAATACTAGCTCTTAAGGATTTTTAAAAATAATTTTATTGAGAAACAAATAGCAATGAATTTTAAAGCCAATTACTAGCACAATAATTAGTACATATTGCATATTGTTGTCTTAGTGGTTATTAATTGTACATGATGCAGACATGATATTCTGTCCACAGACACTATTAGAACACATATCTCTATTCATTGAATTAAGAGAACAAAGCTATATATCTATCCTAACTATTTAAATATACAGATACGAAAGGATTATTTAAGCTGTGTTAATGTTGAGGCTATGAAATGATTAAGTGTAAGCATCAAGCAAAGAAGACTTAGCTTCTATTTTGGTAAGGAAATTAGTTTGCTTCCATTCATATGCAGGAGAGTTATAATGGAATTAGTACGTTTCGGTTTGTACGCAAGATAGTTATGCTGGGCACAAATATATGCACACTTTTGGATTTGGAGACTGGTTTAAAGAAGTATATCTAGTTGCCAAGTTGGCAAGGGGTGGGTTGTAGTGGTTGGCTGTGTCAACTTGAGAAGGTTAGAAGCGTAACTAAATCAGCTCAGCAACTCCACACCATAGGAATTGCACCCTAGCGTGGCTCATCACTTAAAGGATATGAAAGGGAAATGAGGAAAGACAGAGGGTTCAGTTTCTTCAGAGGAGTTTCAGTCCTTGCCTTCAGCTTGGATATCATCTCCTGGCATCCAGCACACTCCTTGGCTTCTGCCTTGGACCCTTTAGCCTTCTGGTGTAGACTCATCAGCCTTCCATTGCAGACCCATCGACCTCCTGATACAGACTTCCATGGACACTGCAGTGAGCTCCAGATCCTGGACTGAATCCTTCAGTCTCCAGAGTGCCCTCTGTATGCTTCCTCAGCTGACTCTGAGGCTGACTGTTGTAAGCCAATCTCACAATTTCTTATACATTTGTACATCTTGTATGTTATATCTGTTTCTCTAGTCAAACCCTGACTGATACTGCGTGTAAGTTTTCTTTAGTGATTCTGAGAAAGTTTTAAGAATCAGTAGTGCTTTAGTGAGGATACTTGTAGCATCTACAAATATTGGACTGACCTATCAGGTGGGGACCCCCTTCCATCTTACCTGTCAAGTGGATGAGTTAGACACTACTTTATTCCCATTTTGCAGATAAGAAAGCCAGAAGTCATAGCAGCTGAGCACTACGGGTTAGGATTCAAGCCTAGGCGGCCTAGGCCTGTGAGTTCTGGACTCTCCCTCTAGCCCAGGGCGGACCCCAGCCCGGAAGGGCTCCTGCGTGCTCGCGGTCCCCTCAGCGCCGTCTCCGCGCGGGGGCGCTGTGGGCACGCACTGCAGGGTCCTCGAGGTCCACGTTGCTCGCTGTGGACACCAGGTGTCCCCAGGCTGTGGCCGCCTATTGCAGGGTGCGTGTCCGGCCGAGGGGAGGGGATGTGGCGGGCAGGATGGGCGCGAAGGAACAGTCGGGATGCGGAGGGGGCTCAGGAGGCTGCGAGGAGCCTTAAAAGCGGGGAGCCCATGCCCTCGGCACGGTGGGGCGCCGGCTGCGCAGCCCTGAGCGCCCGGGACCATGCGGGGCAACAGCAGCGCGCTGCTCAACAGCTCGCAGCAGGCGCCCGGCGGCGGGGACAGCGCGCGGCCGCGACCCTCGTGGCTGGCCTCCACGCTCGCCTGCACCCTCATCTTCACTATCGTGGTGGACATCGTGGGCAACCTGCTGGTCATCCTGTCCGTGTACCGGAACAAGAAGCTCAGGAACGCAGGTAGGCGCTCCCGGAGCCCGACGCCGCAGCCCCGCGGTTCCATGGGCCCCCAGGAAAGTCCAACCGAGGGCTTTTCTTAACAAGTGGGGACTCCGGAGCACTTTAACTAAAAGTGAGAGCTGTCGGTTGACTTTTTTCCTTGGCCTGCCCATCTAAAAAATGCCTTTTCACAAAAACAGTACGAATTGCTAAGTCCCCAAGGGAAGGAAAACTTTGTCAGAGTCCTTCTTCTATTTGAGGAGGAAGCTGTTACTCTTTTTTTCTGGGGTATCTTAGAGCGAGAGGCGTCCGGTACAAGTTAGAAAAGTTCCTGGAGATGCCTCTGCAGATCCGATGACTCCACGCATCCACTGTTCGGCTCTACATGTAAATTAGTTTTCTCAGCTTTGCTCAAATGCAAGATAATATATGAGCTGGCTCAGTGCCGGCACCCGCTTTAGTTTCCATGTCAGCAGTGGTTTTCCGTTATGAGCACACATTGAAAAGGTAGATCTAGATGTTGTCTGACACGCTTTGGACAGGCCTTTGTCCTGCAAATGAGCAAATTTACATTTTACAAATAGTGAAGGATGTATTTATGTACAGCATCCCCCCCACCCCCCACCCCCCGCTCATTTCCTGCCGGAGTCAAACTTGCCTTTTCTTCAGGGAGTGAACTGAAGTAGGTTTACCTGGTTAGGAGCTGGGGCGGCTTCTCCGCACCTCTCGCTGGGGGCTGGGTTTCCTCTCTCTGATTTGGGGCCAAACTTTTGGGAGAAGATGGGAGGATGAAACTTAATTAAACTTAAATGTTTGCAAACTTAAGTGTTTGAAAAAAAAAAGAAAAGGATTATTTTTATTGCGACCAAATGTTGATGACAGCTCAATTTTTGGCTAGCTGCTTCTGTCTTCTGTTTTTTTCTCTAATGTTTGGGGCAGTTGAGAATTAGTTAATAAGTGCCTGATTCTGAACTTGAGTAAGTTGAATAAGTTCACTTAAACTAGAGCAATTCTGCCTTTGGGAATTGGGTCACACTCCTAGAAATAAAAGCAGTTTTCAAGGGGCCGGATGTGTTCTGTGCGCTGTGAAAATGGGTTGACTCTGGGAGAGCCCTGGCGTGGGGCACCGCTGCCCACGTCCCGCGAGAGGGAGCCAGGTGCATGGGCCTTCCAGAGCGCAGCTGTGGGCAGGCTCAAGTCACAGAGCTTGTTGTCTGGAGCGCACCTCTCTTTGCTGGCACCTGTGGCTGTGGCACTTTGGAAATCTGTGTGAGACTTTCATTTAAAACATACATTCCTTGGAACAGTTCTGCCTCCTGTTTAATAATGACTGCTCCTTTCATTTGCTAAGTAACTTTTTGAGAGAGCAGTTTACAGAATACCACATTCCTGCGTTAAGCAAGCCACTCTTAGGGAACTTTAACATACAAAGCTTTTCAATGTTCATGGTTTTATAATTGGGACTTTTTGCTCAAATGGATCACCTTTTCAGTACACAGTGTCTGAGGCTTTTTAGGGTAAATGGCAGCTTGGCACAAGGATACGATAGCCTACTCAAAATACGAGCTTGGGGGATGTTCCTTTAAAGTTCTTATGATTGCTCCATACTCCCACTTCAGTGAATCTTATTCCAATAACTTTAAGGATGAAAAGATAGGGAAAAAAGCTAATGGAAAAAGAAGATGTGAGTGCTAAAGAATCTCAAGAGCTTTATAAAAGCACTTTCCTTTGGAAATGTAGTATAAATGCAGAGTTACTTGTGCCCGGTCCTCTTCTTGGGGATGGATGGTGGCATTTAACTCTCAGGGAAGAAATGCCGAGTGTTCCCCCACCTGAGTGGCTGGATGCTGGCCACCCAGTACAGACAAATTACTAGGGTCTTCAGTCCTGGTAGAATGTCTGCTCTGGTCCTGCTCAAATTTAGATAGTCAGAATCCATGCTACCACATTACATGTTCTGCGTGAATTTCAAAGCATAGTGTGAAGATTCCTACAGTAGACTACTAGGGTTGTATTCTTATTATTTACCTTCTATTTTGAGAAATCAGTTGTTACCCAAACCTCATTTTCCACATTTGTCAAATAGAGATAATACCTAATCTTACCTCTTGGCCTCATATGATTGCCGCAATTACCTAGTGTAATGATGCAAACTGTCAACAATAATTTTTAAGTCCCTAGAGTAATCATATAATCAAATGATTGCCACTGCACTGTGCCTTTCTTGCCCTGTTTCCATCATGTCTGTCCAGAATATGATACCTACCCACCCTGCATTACTCTCAAAGAGCATGCACAGAATATGTGGGAACATGGGCATCTGGCCTTAGCAATCTGGGTTCAAACCTTGGATACATCAGGGCAGTTTTAAGAGGCTTGTACATCTTCAGCATGCCTACTAAAATATTTTTAAATAGAAGCATGATAGGAAAGTGCACAAATTTAAGTATATACTCCTGCATTTTAGCATCTGCATATGCAAATGCTTATGGGACCATCACTTTTCAGGAAGGACTTGCACCAAAAAGGGTATTGGTAGATGGTGGTGCTGTTATTCACATCTTGACTAGAACTGAGAGCTAAGTGGATGCACAGAAAACACCATGCTACCCTTTTTGTGTTTTAATAAGCATGCACAAGTCGCTTCTGGGGCTGGGCTTGACTCTGCCTGGGCCTCCTGCTCAGGCCATTACCTTTTCTCCTAGGCAGTTACCTTTGCTCCTTCTACCTCATGCCCCCAGGAATTCACCAGCCTCCAGTCTTGGCTCCCTGAGCTTCTATAACTCAACCATTGGCCATTCCATGCCCTTACTCTTGCCTTTCTCTTGTCTTGGCCTCCCTAATTCATTCTGTTCCTTTTTTTCTTTTCTCTCCTTGTCTGCTTCTTGTTCCTTGACCTCCATTATTTTTAATCTCCATAACTGGATTCTACCTCAGTAGTAATTACACTGTAATCTTTGCTTCCTAGGAGTATTTATTCTGTACCAGAAAGAAGACAGTCTTGAATATATATGAATATTGTATGCTTCCAGTATATGACTATCATGTTCTATACATGAATTTCTCAGCTGGATTCCCTACTAAACTACAAAATAAACAGACCAATGATATGGTTAAAATAATAGTTACCTAGGACCTATGGGCCCGGGAATCTACCTGCCTCACTCTGCATTCTGAGCTCCTTTAGATTACATAAAAATGGGATTGCATGTTGTAATGCAAGGACCTGGGAAGGTTTTTCTTACTGCCTCAGAAATGTCATGAGAGAGATGAGGGGAAAGAGAGATGATAAAAATTTCATGTCAGTGATGGAGCAGAAAAAAATATAGTCATTCCTGCACATTCCAGGGCTTGGGATCTGCATGCATAACCAACTAAAGATGCAAAATATTTGAAAACATAGCACTTATACTGAACATGTATAGACTTTTGGGGGTCATTATTCCCTAACTATACAGTGGAGCAGGATTTACATAGCATTTGCATTGTTTTTTGAGGCAGATTCTCACTATATTCCCCAAGCTGGTTGGAACTTGTGGACTCAAACAGTACTCCTGTCTAGGCCTCTACAAAGCTGAGTGGATGTAGAACCAGTGCTTTGGAGCTTCCTGCTGGGTGGATCTGTGTTTGTGAATCACTTCTCACCTCTCTGTGCTGTTTTTCACATTAGCGCTTTGATGGGGTTGTACAAAACTGACGAGGCGCTTTCCAGTTCACATGTCTTTTAATTTTCAAGATTATTAACAGAATTAGAAATTATAGTGCAGAGCTAGCAAGATAGCTCAGTGGACTAAGTGTCTGCTTTGGCAAGTGCAGGGACCAGGGTTTGATCCCTGATCCTGCATGTCTCACCAGCCCTGCCCCTGGGGTACGCTGAGCCAGTGACTGAGTCTGGGCATGGTGGCATGCCTGTAATCCCAGTACTGGGGAGGCTGAAAACAGGAGGATCACTATGAGTCTGAGCTGCATAGGGAGACCTTGTACCAAATACATAAATGAAAAAAAAAGAAGTTATAGTCCTATGAAGTTGATTATCAATAAGGAAGAGCATGGATACAAGGTCATATCTGTATTTAACGATAACAAGCATCAGAAAATTAAAGTACATTCTTAGAAATGTGTGTCTTCCTTGTTCTAGACAGCATGGTACACTTCTCCTATGACTCTCTTTTCCAGAGAAAAAGTCCTGTTAACCACCCCTGGTTCCCCTACTTTTATATCCCATGGAATGTTTATGAGGTTTAAAAAATATTTATGTAGTTTTCCCTATTCATAGAGAATGAAGTAATGAACCATGAAGAATACACAAACCTCTGTTGGAGGGATGCTTATGGGCTACTGCTCTGGGATGGGTGCAAATGAGGTTGAATAGGATGAGCGGGGTGCACTCACCACGAGGGAGCTAGATGGTTTGTGCAAGGGAACAAGTCTGACAGAGCTAACGTTCCTTCATGCCTTTGTTTGAGCCAAGGTGAGAGACTTGAACTGCACGGACCCCATCAAGTTGTCCCCACTGGGGAGGAGCAGCCTGCATGGGAGGCTGTCCTAGCCATTCAGCTCACAGTGGTACACCTGTCATGGCCAGGGTCTGGGTTCAAATAAGCTAGCACGTCACTCTC